AGATAAGTACGATGTAGGGTTGCGTTTATACTTCACGACTCAAGCGATTCAGTCGCTCGAGGCGCGATAGCGCTCCATCGCTAAGTTGAGCTGCTGCAACTTCTAATTCTACCACGTTTAGAATGAAACATGTTTAGACAGTTTGTCGAGAATCAGGTGAAGTTTTCAGTCAGTTTACAGATCAAATCCGACGAAGAAGCCAGAAAAGTCGACACAGGTGTGACTGAATCAGAAGTAGCACCCGTCTAATAATCAGCGATTGGACGTCGCCATCCGCAGTCTCTCGAGTCGCGCGAAAAGTGAACGCGGTCTAACGGGGTGTGGACTACACGGCAATTGTCGTCTTTGATAGCAATTAAAAGATAAGCATCAATAATATTTCCTTCTTTGGGTAAACGTACCCCATCAGTTTCTCCAATGCTCGGCCTAGACGTGCAGTTTGTGAGACGTGTTTTCAGATCGTATTTGGTCAGCGCCTCGTAAAGCAGCAAACCTCCCAGTGTGTCGCCAACCACGAAAACCTTAACGATTCAATAAAATATGATTGAATTACGACGTCTCACCATCCCCTATATAAGTGCTCATTTCTGGCTATGAGAAATAGCCGTGACTCCGCAGAAGCAATATGCTCATTCAGTCCCCGTTTTGATTCATGCACGCCATATTCATAAGACAAGGGGCTCGGCTGCGTACTTTTCTTGAACGTGGCGTAGAACGGGATGATTATTCATGTGATTTTTTAATTTGGGACAACTGTAATCTTGCCTTGTGTTGTGCAGAGACATGCTGATAATTGCCTCGAGAAAGTTATCTTATCAAAGGACAGCCGGCTCCACATTCCAAGAAACTACTCAGCCGCGCCCACTGCGTCCCGGGAAATCAGAGATAGAGTAACTTGTGACTTATAAGTGAAAGACAACGAATAAGTCACCTCGCCATTGAACTGCTTTTGTGATTCGATAAACTCATTGTAGGCCTCATTCGCCCGTCGAATCGTCCCTTCAATCGCCTGAAAAAAAACTAGAACCTACATAATTTTTAAAAGAATATCAAAATGTGTCTGACGTCGTGATAGAGGCTTTGTGCGCTGGATATGATCAATGCCATGGACGGATGAAGGGCACCGAACGAGGACGAGATCGATGACAAGCGATTGACGACTGGATCGAGTTCTGATCCACATGACACCATGAGCACGTGAACACGGCCTTTTAGTTGTGGGTAATGACGTTGAACAAGCGAGTCGATCGTTGACCTGGAAGTGGGCATTTTCAAGTTGCAAAGAAAGCGAAGAGGCCTAAACAGGGATACGTCCAATGTTCTTTTCTTCGGATTCTTCTTCGGATGCTCCGGAGTCTTCGGATGCTGGAGCATGCGGGGAAGGGAGGGGGGGGGACATCAGTTTGGTGCAGCACCAGCCCGTTTTTCACTGACTATCATCGCTTGCCCTCTCCTATTATTTGGGGTGAAGGTAGTGGTGAAAGGAAGGTTCACCTGCTTACAGTAATATTGTAGGAATAGTTCACTTGGGGACTTCTGTTCATCTTGCCAATCAGTGTGGCGTAAATTTTGGTCCGCGCTATGAGCAGGGTGGCTTCTTTCGGCGCCCCCACTGTTGAAATTAACCTGAAAGTCAATGTGTACAGCATAGTTGAGATAGCACTATCAAGGGTCGTACGTGACCGCTGTGGGGTGGGGGGACGAATCCGCCTTCGACAGGAATTTTCCGAGTCGCGGGGAAATTTTTCCTGTTGTTAACTTTCCTTGATTTTCCCATGATGGAAAGTTGGGAAACCTTGGGAAAATGGTTGTTGGCGAGGAGTCGTACCAGATGAGGAGATTTCGGGGGGATCAAAGTGACACCGCTACTTCATTCACTTATTACGATGCTGTGCCCAGTGCTGCCAAAACGGCAAATCAAATATGCATACAATTTCTAAAAGGCCAAATAAGACCTCAGTCCCTCCGTGAGGAGTGCCAACCAAACAGAAGCTTCATGAAGTTGTCGCTCTGATTATTAGATTCCGCTTTTACATTACCGCGAATCACTTAT